GGAACATTACTTTCTGGGATAATAGGTCTGGAGACGGTGGCGCAGGACATGCAAAGTGCTGGCAAGACTCTCTAAACTAAACGGGGACACCACAAGGCCCAGGGACTCATTCCCACGGTACACTGCAGGTCTGTCTCTACCGGTCACGGGGGCATTAGATCTACACCAAAGCTGCTTTACTTAATAAGATACGGCTTTATACTTAAATCAATGCTCTTGAGGTGACAAGGTGTTCGAATAAACTTTATAAACGACAGGAAGTCATGAGGTCCCACTCTGCTCTGCTGGTTGCTAGCAGCTTCATGGTCTAATACCATCCATTCCATGCGGCAGCTTCAGATATATAACTAAAGGGCGGGTTCCAGACCCATAAACCTCTAGAGAAAGATGCACCTCCTGTAATCCATTCTGAATGATAGATTTCCCCTTGGCCCATTTTGATAAGAGACAGACCTTAAAACAACCGACTGGCCTACATTATTCTAGACGGAAGATGTCTTTAAAAGAAGCAGACAGTTCCTTACTTAAATCTATTAACTACCCATCAACCTGAGGACTTAACAACACAGAACTGTTTTCCCATCTGCTGAAAGCCCACAGCAGTCCCCTGATGGATTAAGACAGCGCGAATGCCAACGCAGAAAGTGTCAGAATTACAAATATCTCCTTTCAAATTTTGTGGCAGAGCAAATCAGAAAGACGACAAAAAGCCTACTCTCTCACCCAGTGTGACAATGATGAAAGGCCAAGGCACGTTTAGGAATAAAACCACTTAATACAGAAAAATAGCTAATTAACAGGTTCCTTCACTTAAAATAGTTTATCTGGCTGGCCAGGGCCTGGGAGCTTAAAATAACAGGTCTCAGATTCAACTTTATAAAAAAATAAAAGGAATGTTTTGTATCAGTTTAAAAACATTAAAAAACATCAAGAAGGAGCAAGAATAATTATATCACACAATAATTTCTCCCCAAACTATTGGCGTTTCAGCAAAAAAAAATGTTCCTTCTACCAATCCCAGCCTAAGGAAAGTACTATTCCCCACTGCTCTAAGATTACAGACGCTTCAGCTACAGGAACTGGAAGGCAATTTAAAAAGAACACACTGCTGACAGCAGGCTGCTCACAGTTCTGTGCGCTCGTCTTGCCTAGGACACAACACCTTCCGACAGCAGCCACTGCAGAAGCAGTCTTCCAGCCCCTAGTAATACAGAATTATCCCGGCAGGTTAGCTAGCAACACAGGGCTTTAATATCACTTTCACATCTTCTCGTGCATCCAAAAAAAAAAAAAAATTGCTAGTGGTCAGCTGCTTTTCTGCATATAACCTTACCTAAAGCGGGGGTGTCAAAATCAGTTCCTGGAGGGGGTGTTGTCCTCCGGTTTTTGTCACAACTGAGCTCTCAGTTGCACAGATAACCCATCCACCCATTTTCTAACCACCTCGTCCACTCCAGGACTGCAGGGGAGAGCTAGAGCCTACTGCATTTTTACTGTTGGGCATTTTCTTTCAGGAATGAACCGCAAAATCTGAAGAAAAACCTTTCAGATATTTAATTAAGAAACCAATTAAGGCAATTATTTGACACATTGGAATTGGCAGCTTAGGTTGGACCAAAAGCCAGAAGACCCCTCCAAGAGCTGATCTGACTCACCTGACCCACAGCACGACTATAATATCCTGGCGCTGAAACGCTGAGGCATGTTCGCATGCACGGAAATCTGTGAATGCTACCTGCACAAACACCATACTTGTTAAAATTTCCGATCGATGACAGAACCTGCCGAAGGCGTTCTGAAGGCTTAAAATGGACAAATCTTTCAAATCCATTTCTACAATACTGGATGAAAAGCTCTTCAGGCAAAGGTACAACAAAAAGAGGTCACTGCCTTTTTTAAACAGCACACGACCATTGCTACCCTTGCACTGGATCAAAAATCGTTCGTCATGGCGAACCAGGTAAGAAGACATTCTGCACGACAGCCGAGTGAGACCGACAAGAGCCTGAGATGATGCGTTAGTATTCTTCCCATGTGTACTGTACGAAATGCAAAAACAAGACCTCACCCACCACAATACAACTGTGGCATTATCTTATACCGCAGCAGTTACTAAGATAACTGGGCATTCAAGATCCCACAACACGGGGCTGGGTCAGCACCAACACCCTCTACAGTCTCCGTGCCCACGATCACGGGCGGCTCACAGGCGAACAGCACATTGGGACAGGCTGCGGAACAGCTGCACTCCTGACAGCACCCTGCTCACGCAACCCTGAGCCCGGGCTGGAGCCAGACACCCGGCTTAGTTTGGAGCAGTTAGGATCACACCCCTTCAAAATAATTCACCTTTTTTTTAAAAAAAAAAATCAAAACGGCGAAAGACTGGAAGGGGTTTGCGTGGAAAAAATGACCTTTCAGCTACCCAGTTGTCAAAACTGGCCCAGCTGGGGTGTATATATATATAAAAACACATAACTGATACCACACAGGAATAAAACAACAACACTGAATAACCACTGCAAACCCTGCACTTCTTTATCTCGCGAAAAACCACCAACAGGAGAAAGTTAACCAGCTAGTGAAGCGAGGGGTCGCTGAAACCAGGCTGCTGCAGCTGCTGCCGCCGCCTCCTCTGGTGGCAATAAAAGCACAGATGACCCGCTGAAGAGATGAGGAACAGCAGCTTGCAGGCTCGACGCCACGGCCATCTTCGGACATGGGCAGGGCAGGTGTCCCGCTTACACGGAAACGGGGGGCGGCGGCGCCAGGGCCAGGGCCAGCACAAGCGAGCAGCTCTGCTCCTCATGTTAAGTTCCACGTTAGACCAGCGTCGTCGTTTTTGCTTTCGACAAGAGTGAGAAGACGCGTTAAAAAAAAAACAACAACAACAGAAAGAGTCGAGCCCTAGGCACTTCAGCACCCAGGACTGCTCGTTTCACACCAGGGTGGCGGTACCACTCTCTAACAAGCTGACCCGCCCCAACAACAAAGTAGACTCGTGTCCAAGAAAAGCCACAACTAACACCAAGATTTTTATTTGTCCGGAGCCCCTAGACCGTCCCCACCAGTCCGTCCTCCCGGTGCGCAGATCTGTGCAGACCGGGCCGGTCGCCCTCCCGGCTGACAGGACGCCTCGCCAGGGCGGCGACACCCGAAACACCACCGCACCCCACGACTTGCCCCGTCGGTGCAAAACACGCACACAGCCAGGCCAAGCCAGGCCAGGCCAGCCCAGCCCAGCCACACAGCGCCCAATGGCCGCGACACGGGACGACATACAGAAGAAGAGAGACGCCCGACCGCCACCCGAGCCAGAGGGGACGCTGGTGAAGCCACACGGTTTAAACACGGTTTCAGCCCTCGGCTGCAGCCGACACACGACACCCCGCCTCTCCCTCTCCCTCTCCCTCTCCCTCCCTCTCTCTCGGAAAACGAAACGAAACTTAACAGCTCAGGTGCAGCGAGTCGCTTCGCTTATTCGTCTTTCGCCGTGGGCAGAGTCGCGGATTTACGGCCTGTTTTAAAACACAAGCAAAAAAAAACAAAAAAAGCGGTCAGCGATCGGCGATCAACGAGCCGGGGACCGGACCGGACCGGACCGGACGCGGGCGAGGGGGGTGGGGTGGATTACGGTGCATGTCACCGCTACCTGACCGGACACCGCCCCCCGGGCCGGACACACAACACAACACTCAAGCCGGTCGGCTGCACCTACCAGGTCAAGGGCTAGAAGAAATCGGGACGGGAGACCATTCAGAGAAGAAAATATTTTTTTTTTGTTTGTTTGGTGGTGGTGTTGTTGCCGCTGCTGGCTTTCTGTCACGGCGGACCCGGGCGAACTCGGACTTCTTCTTTCCCGGAGGGAGGATGAGGAAGGAGCTGCGAGACCTCACCTCCCGGACGACGACGGCGCTTGGTCAGTAACGAGCGGAGGGAAACACAAGCGAGGCAAGGGACGGGCGACGGCGGCAGCTTGTCAACTCAGCCCTCCTGTTTACAGCTCGCCGCAGAAAAAAAAAGAGAGAGAGAGGGAGAAGGAAGGGGGGAGCCTCACGCCCACCAGTCGAGGAGAGAGAGAGAGCGCTGCCAGATCCCGCCCCTCCGCTCCGCGCAGGCGCACTTCCTCCCGCAAGCCGTGGGGACAGCCCTACTTCCGCCCACCGCGAGCCGGCGGAGAGCGAGAGGGGGCAGGTCGCCGCCGCTCGCGGGTCGGTTGCCCGTCTTTTCTGGAACGTTCGCCGCGCGCGACTCGAGGGAGTGGGGGGAGTGGGGCGGGGTCTCGAGACGCTCGAGCGCCGACTCCGCGCAGCGCGAGAGAGGGGAGGAGGAGGGACAGTGTCGTTATACCGAAATGTAATAAGAGCGCCGCTGACGGGATTCATTAAACCCCCAGTTTTAATTCGGCAGATTTGAGGAGCAGGAAAAAAAAACCCAACAACAACAACAACAACACCACCACCAGAAACGTGGATCGGGCTGGCGGGGGTGGACAGCCTCACCCGAGTCCGTTAGAGCTGCCGGTGGCACCGGCTCGCCTGCTGGCGCTGCCGGGAGGGCAAAGCCGAGCTCTCGGGCGACGCTACGGTGGACAGCGCCCACCTGCTCCCAGGGACCCCGCGTCCTGCGCGACACCGCCAGCGAGCTGTCGATCTAGATGACGGCGATAATGTCATTTCCCGAAAGGCCCGTGCAAACGCTGAATTCATGTTCCCCCCCCCGGCTGTGTCGTACAGTATGACTGTTAGGAAATGGGCGAGTTTCTCAATAGCAGGCCAGGGGAATACCCCGTTTAAAATCCATGTCTATATCTGATATTTTTCAAGGTAGACATAACATGTTATGACTGCTGTATTTGATCCCACTGTCTCCCTGCGCGCCGTGTTCTGCTGCAGGTGCGGCGTCAGTATCCTGGACCCCAGTGCCACTGCCTGGCCAGGAATAGGCATTAGCACTGTACTGATCACAATGGGAAAGACACCCCACTAGGTATCACTTACCCGATTCGTCAATTTACCGGATTCAGCCCCAGATTGAGCAGGTTAAAAAGATCCCGGAGCGCGCTCGTCCGAGCAGGGCCACTAGGTCTCCAGCTGGGATATGAACTAATTGATTTCAGCTTCCTGTTTCGGGGGAATGTTTGGAAATAGTTTTTTTTTTGGTCAGCTCTTAGAAGGTCAAAGGGGATTTGTAACAGATATCATCACGCCTGTAACGGTTCCTGGGTTTCAGAACTGCCCCCTGTTCAGCTGAGCGGCCTGAAGCGTCACCGATTGGTCCCGCAGGCGGAAGTGAACGCCCACTGTGGGCGTGTCCGCTACAGTGCCACTCCCATAATGGGCGTGTCGTCTGGTGTGGTCACACCCACCGCGGGCGTGTCTGGCCGCGTCATTCCCCAGCTGCCTGTTCAACATCCATTGATCAGCGAGTAAGAGCTGATGAGTCAGAAATAACAGCCGGGCTGTGTAATGTTCTGTGTGCTGGAGTTGGGTGGAAACTTCAACCCTGAAGTTGTAAAAGTTAATCACCAGTACAAATTGGTGCCTGCAAATGATCTGCTTTCTGGTTTCATTTTTTTTCTGCACTCATGTATTGGTTTTAAAAATATTCTAGAGTGCATCGTTTCTGTCAGCTTCAGCATACAGCACTTTATGTATACTGTCCACAACTTGCTCATTCATAATTTGCTCCCTCATTTCTGATTAAACAGCTCTTAAAAGGTGATCAATTGATGGTGGGACCGACACTCCCAGTGAGTCAGAGTTTGTCCTCCTGCTTATGTCCCAGGGATATATTTCAGCTCACACATCTGAGAGAGAGCCCAGTCCTGAAACAGTTCAGTTAGCACAGGGGTCATACTAATGACAAATCACATTCAGAATTTTTTTTTAAGAGCTGTAAACAGATTTAAAAGAGTGGATCAAATAGAAAAGGGAAACAGATGAGCCTGTGCTTAAGAACTGGCCTGGTGCATAACCGAGAACAGACAGGAGCCAAGGACCAGGAACAAGAACCACTACACCATGGTGTTTCTGAAACCCACGCCTGGACAATAGCAATGGACAACAGAAACTGGAGAACGGGAGCCATCCAGGGCACAAGTGAGCGATCGGCAGGGCCGGAGCTGCCGGTTCCCGATCTGGGGAATGGGGGGGGGGGTGTAAGGATGGGGTGTCCAACCCTGGCTCTGCAGTGCCGCAGCCCTGCAGAAAGACGCAGAAAGCACGTCAACGCGGCCAAATTAGGTCACAGGTTGATCAAATTTAGCAACGCAGAGCTCAATCTGGAAGGAAAACCAGAAGGTACTGCGGCTGTCCAGCAGCAGGGCTGCAGACCCCTAATGAGGGGAAGTGATAACTGCATTTACTGTACTGTCCACCCCAGGGTGCTTAGGGCCAACCCACTCAAGGCCATTAAACAGCAGTGCAGCAGAAAACACAGTCGCGCTCTAGAAGAAGGAAGTTTAGGAGACAGTTGTATTCATTCTTACAGACTGCTGTAACAGCAGGCACGCCCTTTCTCCAACATGCATGAGTGAGGTAGCTACTGGACTGAGCGCTGAACACCATGAGCAAGCCCGCTCTACAACCTTCCAGATCCTCAAAGCATTGTTTTCGGTCGCCCCCACAATGAGTCCGCGGAGGAAAATTATTGTCCGACGACGGTGGAACACGCAGTTCGTCTGCTGTAATGATACCCTGGGCAGGAACCCTGCAATTGTGCCCGGCTAATCTTTTCAAAAGACAAAGACGACAGGACGCCACAGCGCTTTGCCTCAGAAGGGGACTCAGAAGACACTGCAGGGGATTCCAGGACCTTAGAGCCTAAGACACCAGGGCCCAGCGTACCCTAAATCCCAAAACACGCCCAGATAATCCCCAGCGGAAATCCTATTACAGTCACAGACGGAATTCCTCAGTACGTGTAGAGCATGGGATGAGCTTCCCATCAGCCCTCGAGGACCAGTGTTCCCTTAACGCTGGAGTGCGAGACGCCCTTTTTTTAGAAGGTAAATCACGGAAAACACAAATTAAAAGCAGGGGCATGTTAAGTTCAACTAACCTACAAACCTTGGGTGTTTTAAGGTAAACATTAAAAAGCAAAAGTGTAGAATTGTTCTTGTATGCTTAATTTTACTGAAAATATAACATAATAAATACATAATTCTCTTTCATTCTGTAGTTACGATATATCTGAGGTTTAATTGTCCTACTTCAGTGATTTTTGATCACTGAAGGCCACTGCCTTAACTGAGCACATCAAACGCTTCATTGAGTGCAATTAAGCACAGCACCAGACACTGTTATGGGTAATCTAGGTCGGACGGTCAACTTGGACACTGACGTCTCTCATTCCGCTGCCCTTTTCAAGTAGCAAATCAAGCACGAGAGAGAACGGTTTTCGTCCGTAGTCTGAACAGGAGAGAAAAATAAATTTCTGCAATTCGATGCCCAGCTCTCAGTCCCTGGTGGTTTTATTCTGCCATGTAAGTCAAATGAGAACTGGAGCGACGTTAGCGAAGCATTTAGTTCAACAGCAATGTGACACCCAGGTGGTTCAGAAGCCACGCCATTATTTGGCCTCAACACATGCAGTACACGTGTAAACATGACGACTTCATCTGGCCGTTGGCTTGTGTGGTTTAGGAGTTACAGATAAATGTTCAATACTGCTCGTATTAACCTGCGAAAGCTATGGTTATTGTGCATATTATTACCGCAATTAAACCTCGCAGCTCGTAATGGTGTATCTGGTGTACTATGGTGTACTACACTACTTTACGACTCGCATGAAAGCCCGTGAGGAGGAACACGGGCGAGCTCGGCGGCCACTCTTTGCAGGGAGACTAGACCCTACAGCAGAGCCGTGAGTGTATGAGGCTGCCTGTCAGCACTGAACACACACACACACACACCAGCCAAGCGAGGGACACCGAGATAACCCACTGGCATCCCGCGCTTGCCAACACCGCGTCCCGCTGCTACGCGCTTAAAGTCACGCAAAACACCCGAGCGGTACGCGTTTCGAGGGGGACGTGTCAGTTAAGGGCGTCGGAGCAGATCGAGATATAGGGAGAGGCCTGGCAATTTTCTGCTGAAACGGATACTGGCCGAGGAGAATATACAAGCGTGTCTTTAGCCACCGACCCGCTTTCGACTGCGAAACACGGTTTTGTCCCCCCCCCCATCTCACACGCCAGGTGTGTCGCCCGTCGCCGGGACGAGCCTGCAGGCAGAGACGGAGGCCGGGAGGAGTCATTTCAACATGACAGCGCCTCCCTTCAGTACACAAGAACCCATCGAGGGGAACACGCTGATCGCAGGTCAAGGGTGCTAAAAGAATTACACACACAGTGGGGGGAAGAGGGAGGGGTAAAATATCATTAAAGGTGTTTAAACTCGATTCCCCGGGTTAATAAATGGCTCAACTTCACCGAGATTCACCATTGCACTGTCTATAGTGATGTTTATGCTCTGTGTGGCACGTTACAATTTGTGAAAGAAAGAGATCCTCGCTTCGTTGCTACAGGACGGCGATGGTGAGCGGTCGCCGAAACCTTCAGGGTACGTGAAAACACAGATGCGACACGCCGTCCGCAGCTCCCCGGTGCCCAGGACCCGCTACGAGCCGCCGGTGACCGGCAACCCTCGCCTTCCGACCGGGCCGCGCATGCGCGGTGCCCGCCTTACCTGCCCGTCCACGAGAGGCGGGGTGGGGGCTGCCGGGAAGGTCAGTCCGTCTTCCTCGCGGGTGGGGGGGGGGGAGAAACGGTTGCGCGCGGGCACGTGCGCTTCGCCGTCCGGGCGTTTCAGTAGGGCGCCTAAAGCAGAGTGGGACCTCGCGAGCCGCTCGCCGACCAGGAAAACCGCCGCCCGGGAGACTCAGAGCTCCGCCCCCTCCCCAGCCAGGACTGGCTGCGGCCTCGGCCCCGCTGATTGGCTGCTGGCCGGTGCCGGGGGCGTGGCCGGCGGCGCCGTCAGGGTCCTGCAGAGCCGAGCGCGTCTCTGCAGCTCCGCTCAGTCGCCCTCTCGTCCTCCGCCCGGTGCACAGGGTAGCCTCTCGCCAGGGAGTCTAGGGGGTCGGGCCCTCTCCAGAGCTCGCCCGCCCCTCCTGGGAAAGGTGGGCGCGTTTAATTTGACACCACTGTGCGGCCCGAAATCTTGCCTTTTAGACTGTGACACAGGGGGAGCTACACAAGTCGCATACTGTGTAGACAAGATTCAAGATCCAAGATTTTTTTTTTAATTTGCCGTACACAACAAGTGTATTGGGATGCTTGCTCGTCCAGCTGTACCCAGTAACAGTTGAGTGGGCGAAAAAAAGGCACAAATGACAAACAGACATTAGACGTAATGGAGCCAAGACAGGACATTGTGAAAATAGTGCAGTACCTTAGAGTGCAGGTGCTGATTTGAGCTGGTGTTAAGATTCGGAAGTGTGTGTAAAGACCGGCGCAAGATTCCCTTCGCTGCTTGTATTTCTATCAAGGCATTCGACTCAGTCACGTTTTCGTCCGGTTACTCGTTTTGTGCGAGTTGTGGTCTGGGTCTGAGACCGCTGGGGTGTGGTAGAACTGGGCTGCAGCTGCCGCAGGTGCGCAGGTCCTGTCCCGGCTCCAACGCTGGCTGCGGCTTGTGGCAGAGCGCCCTCTGTCGGCGACGGGGTGAATGTACCGGCGTGGCGTCCGGTCAGGCAGTCCGTCCAGCTGCGCTCTCCTCGGACCCGATTCACCCGGCGGCTGAAGAGATTCGCTGCGATAACCGCGATGCGGCACCCAGTCGACACGACACGACGGCCCAACTGGCCCCGATCAGAGACGTGTGCGACACAGCGGGGGTTCACCCCTGCGTGCACAACAATCTGGTGCCCTCCACAGAGCGGTCCCCGGCCTCGGGCCGTGTCTGTCCTAAACATCCCACGGAGCTCTCCGCTGTCAATAACCAGGTGGGCGCAGGAAAACAGCCTGGAGACGCACCTGGGAGGATGTATCTGAAAATCACCGAGTGACACACCGACGCAAGAGAATTCCTTCTCACCGCCCCTCGACGAGGGGCGCCGTACAATGGCCGACCCTGCACTCCGACCCCCAGCTTCTCTCCCTGTCTGTGTGTCTGTGTCTCCATGGAGAAAAAGCTGGGGTATGTGAAAAGACAAATTCCTAATGCAAGAAATTGTATAGGGCTAATAAAGAAACATTATTATTATTAAAGGTTTTACCAAATCAAACTGAAACTTGATTTCAATGAAGACAGTTGTTTCATACTGCCCAGGCCGGAATTAAAAGGCTGTGACGAGCTGCTGAAGGTAACTTTGGACTACAGATCAACCCAGGAAGGCAGGTCGTATCCTCTGGCTGGAAAGCCGGTTCACTACGCTGCCACAGCTACCGTCGGCAAAAAAAAAAACCGTGCAAGCTGCTGGCCCGTGAGAGACGTGCTAATAGCACACGGGGCCCACCGCGCGCGACACACAGTGCGAGCCTGAATACCTGCAGCACGTGCAGTGCGTCCTCAGACCCCCCTGAACGTGGAATCACCAAAAGTCACAATTTAGGATTCATTTGGGAAATGTTTTTTTCTTGAACTTTCTTCTTCACCCTAATGTTCAGAAAGGAAGTCCTTCAGTTTTAGTTGGGCCTCATTCAATATATATTCCAATTCGGTGAATTAAGGTTTCTATCAAGTATAATAGTGAATGAATCTGAGACGCGTTAGTAGCACCACGATAACAGGAGAGAAGAGAACCTGAGGAAACACAAAGCGGATTTTATAGTCCTACAATAAATGCAATAAAATCAAATCCAGTCTGTATACTTTGTGCACACCGCGTTAATAATCGCATTCAACGCAAGGCAAAGCGTCTAAAAGGATATTTGTGGCTCCATCTAGCGTCCATTTTCCAAAGCAACACCTAAAGACCGCGCAGTGATCATCCCCTACATGGGATGGGTTTGTCCCTGACGTCTCGTTTCCATCTCGCATTGCATCTCGATGGTTTTATAAAGGAAACTGAAACATGAAACTACAACACCGCTGGGTTTCAATGTTGTGTTTTTTATGCATCGCAGAACACTCTCTTTAGCCTGGCCTGCCTGGGGGTGTGTTCCTCTATTATTCATGTTCGTACTTCGACATTTTAGATCCCACCAGATTTATTTTATTTAAAAAACATCTAGTTATCTTTATACAAAGTGCTGCATTTATACAGACCTCTGATCTTCATAAGTAAAATGGCCTCAATAAAATACTAACAAACAGAGACATCATTAAAATAACAAACTGAAAAAATGAAGACACGAGGCTACAACACCATCTGTTTCAAAGTTTTATTGCTTGTGCATCACAACACACTCTCTTCAGGACGGCCTGGAGAGACCCTTCACAGAAACACACATTTCTGTTACAGAACATTTAAATAGCAAAATGATAATTTAGCAATACAATACATTACATTAAGAGATAATAAATGTATTTGTCTTTTCTACATAGTATTCATCTATTTACAAGCTGCTTATTTATATATTTATATATGAGATACAAAACAAGTGAAATGCAAAGTTTTAGCAAAAAAAAATTATTAGGCTGTACATTCAGTTTGGTGAGGAATACAAGTGCTGCCCAAAGTAAAGCAAATATTAGGACATAATACAAAAGAAAACAGTACCCAGACGCTTGTGGATATATATACTGGATAGGGTTTTTCAGTAACATGTGGTGAAAGAGGGAGAGTACTCTGGACTCTGTGACACAGGCCTGCAAAACCTGTGCGAAACTATTACTCAAAGAGGGTGACTCCAGACCAAGTGCCAGTTGAGAGGGGAGACCGGCGATCGCTGGGCTGACTCGGGACAGTTTCTGGAATAGTTCACACCGAAAAGGAAACAAGTGCGAAAACCTGGCCTCACCCGCCTCCCTCGTCCTCCCACCCCGAATCTATCAGTTTCACGAAACACATGGCCTCTGTCAGCACACCTAGACAGCAGACTGCACCCCAGCGCAGCGACTGCAGGCACTCTGACCCCATCAAGCACTCCAGGGCTTGTACAGCTTTCCACAGGCAGAACAGAGACAGATACATGGGAAAACGAAACTAGAGTGTTGCCGGATGATTTTCAGTGAGTAACATTATTCTGTGCCAGATTTATCAAGGCCCTCATGATCCAGCTATGATTTAAGAGTTGTTTGCAATGCAAAAAGCATATCTGATATCATTTTTTTTAAAAAAAAAGCACTTAGCTACCAGCATATAATGGTGACTGTAAAAGGTACTGGATTTTTTTTTCATTTTAAAAATGGCACAAACAGATTACAAATAATCTGTTATGACCTTGATAATCTCTCCTGCTGTCTGTAAAAAGAGAATTTTGCTTGGGATATAAGATTTGTGCTTTTAAAACAGTCTGATCTTTGAGGGGTTTCTGTCGAATCCTGCATGCTCCGTTGATTTAAGCTTCATAAACCCTGTAAGAAAAAAGAGGAACAGGCTGTGAGCTCCATCAAATGTCTGTAAGAATACAAACACTGTTGATGCCTGAGCAGTGAATAACAGCTATTATTTTTTAAGTATTTGCATATAAGCATGATTTTTTCTACAGACCGCACAGACTAACGTGGTTATGAAATGTTTAGATTAAGTATTATTTGTAATATTTTTGTCACTAATGTCTGAATATGTACTGGTGATAGAAACTGCCTCTGGCTAAATGTTACGGTGTTTTTTTACCATATCAATATTATTATTGTGTCCAAGATGGTGCTGAGGAGAGAATATTGCATGCATCTCCCTCACAGATTGTGCTCTGTCGTGCTATGTGTTACTATTGTTAACTTTAGACATACACCCTATTCCTGCAGTAATCTTGTAATCTTTTGAACATTAGATCAAGAGTTACAGACATATGTTTTAGTGTTTTGGACCTAGAACAGCTCTCTGGACTACCTTCCTTCGTGTCTGAGTGCTGCTTAAAATTATAGCTGCTACTATGGTCCTATCTCCAACAAGTCATTTGTTCATGTGTCATTTGTTATGTCTTTTTTATGTCAACGTTATGTCATGTTTTATGTCATCTGTGATGCCATGTCACGTGAGGAAAACACACATTTCACATGTACTCAGGTACATACGACAGTAAACTTGCACTATTGAGCTATTGTGTCTTCATTTCCTGCCATCACGAAGCCACCAGCAGTCATTGTATATTTTGCAACGATGACACCTAATGGGCAGTAATGGAATAGCAGTTGATGTCTCTTGCAAACAGCAGATGGCGAACTGGTGTAAGGAAATTTCCGAACAGCATTTAAGACAATTAGTACTGTTTGCATAGAACAATACAATAGCAAATAACTCCAGTCGTGTGAAATTGTGATCAAAACTCAAAGCAAGAGCAAGATGCCCGAAAGTCTTCTTCCAAACATTTTTTTATGACATGTTTAAAATTAAAGACCAGAGTCATAGATGTTCATTTTCATGCTCTAGGATGACAAGGCAACGCTGCGCACAAACTCTCCCTGTGAACCTGATGGCAGATTACTCTGGTGGTGTAATTCCTTCTGAAAACCGGCAGCTTCTATCCCGTCTTGCGCTCTGATTCGGATGGCTACACCCTACGAGCTGCAGGCCTCACCTGTGCTTGTCCTTCCAGATCTTGTACCACTTGACCAGATTCTTGGTGCTCTGCAGTCTGGGGTGCAGGCAGTACTCCTGGCCTTTGAAGCGAGACACGTTCTCCATGGTCACACTAGGAAAGACACACAAGAGCGACACCTCTATCAGCACTGGGAATCCCGAGCTCAAGAAACATCAAGATCATGTAAGCCATCATCTGGGTATAGGACAGAGGCTTCATGGCTGTAACTGTTCTGAAAACGCTATTTAAAAGTCACTCATCCACACCTATATATGATTATATAATAAAGAAATTATGCAGGGCACTGCTGCATTAAAATAAGCTCCACAAATGCCACTGGGCTTGTCCCATTTTCCCAGAACCCCTCTATGGTTGTGGCAAGCTCAGCCGGTGCCTGTGTTGCTTCTGCCTTGTGCTTGGTGTTGTGCCATGCACACCACAACGCAGGCGGTCTCTTTGAATACCCAAAAAAGATTAACAAAGACAGCATGCAAGCAGCAGAGATGGGTGAGAGTGTGTGTGAGCGAACAGTTGTGCAAGATCAGCTTCCTCCTCCTGGGAGGTGCAGAGACACAAGAATGACTCCAGCCAGGATAAAGCAGCCACAGTCCATACCAGGCCAACTGTGTGGCTACCTCTGTAATTCCACATCTTCTCTGCATGCTCAGCTGCCCTATTCCTATCTCTCAGAGCAGATCTGAATACCTACTGTCTGATCTGGCAGTTAAAAGGTGTTGACTGTGTGTGTTGTGTGCCTGGTGTTTCCTGCAGGTCTTGCTTGACCTGAACCAGCTCATTATGGGCTTGACTGCCCCAGTTTACTGGCTGCTCCTGGTTCTTCAGCTGCTGGTGCTTTAAAGAGACTCAGATGCCCCGCAGGACCAGAGTCGGACCACAGTGGTGCTGGTGAAGCTTCGTCCTAGTTTCACAGACGGAGGGTGTTATTTTTCAATTTGTTTATTCAAACTCTAGGGATTAACAGGCCGCGGCAGGCACGCTGTACACATATGGCGCATTTGCTTGCATTCAAAATGCATTTTCTAAAAACCACAGCAGCATTTGAGAATCACTAGGAGACGTTGCACAGACACAACCTCATGTGCCCTGACAGTTCCTGAAACTGAAGGTGTAACAGGGCAAATGACAATCTGAGCAAAATAAAAAGTAAAAATCAGCAAAAATTATCCCATGAAACAAATGCGATAATGAATGGAGTTACTGTATTGTAGCTCTTTAACCTTCATTTTAGAGCTCGTATTATGGTTTGTAACAGCATATTTACAAGACAGATAAAAAAGCCAAGGGTAAAAAAGAGAATAAATGCTCGAGAGCTCTCTTTCTGTTTGTTTGATCTCCACGAGCACGACAACAGCAAGAAGGAAGACCCCACACAGTAGTTTCCTTCACTGCTAAATGAGCTCCGCACGGCTCTGCAGGTGCTGCGGCCAGTCAGCTCACTTGGACTCGCCCTCTTTGGTGGGTCCATTCAAATGATCAGCTGTGCAGAGCTGCAGTATCGGACGACTGCATCAGCCGCGAGCAGCCTGAGGTTTTCACAGGAACACGCACCTCATGCAAATAGTTCAGAGACGGGTCTTGGGCAGATCGGAGGGAGAGAGAGAGAGACACGCTGGTTTTCCGGCAGCCTGCTGAGAACTTGTTTAGATCACAGCCAGGCCAGCCTTATTATGCAAACAGACAGGCAAGTTGTTTGTAGGCAATCAATCCCAGCCTGCAGCAGCACAATCGCTGTGCTAATCTGTGGCCCTCAGTATCTTGGCAGGCGGGGAGAGAAAGTTTGCGGAGAAACAGCACTGGAATAACGATGGGCCACCCCAGAAGGCTGGACACATGCTTGCTAATAGCTGAATGGACAAAAAAAGCCTGTCTCTCCCCGACACCCTTGCGTTTTCGGTGCCTTTTATATAACGAAATAAAAGAACAGCTCAGCCTGCCGCATTTGAAAATATTGCCACTTTCAAACGCCATGAACTTTATCAACTCGCTTCACATATTCACTGAAAAGAAAGCAGGTACTGCCACTACCAGCTGTGCTTGGATAATAAAAAAAACAACTGAGTGATGGATCTGCGATCTCCTAGATTTTGGGTTACAACAATGTTACTTTTTTATTTGTACTATTTGAATTACGATATGATATCTGATGTTTTCCTCTGGAAAAAAAAAGTGTAGCTCATTATACTTTTGTGCAAATCTGTTGAGGAAAATGTCTCTAGAAATAAAGGTTGGATGGAATTTCAAGCGCATAATCGAGGCTGATTTTGCAGCGTTATACTTCCGAGTAACACTAGAGGGCGACAGACGGCAGTTTAGGATGGTGGTTTCGTTCTGTATTTCAAACTGCGGTGGCACAGCAAGCACTATATTTATCCGTTTCTCTGATTTGAAACAAATTTAACTAAATCTCAGATATCAAAACCAGTCTGCTGCCAGTGTCCTTTACCTTTATCCTTGGAACTGCAGTCCCAATTTCTCAGACCAGTTTTTAAATCTCGGTAATAAAATAATTGACAGTATCGCAAAATTTTACAAATTCCGAATTAAGCACAACATTGCAAACTACGTGAAAGTACTGTATAGTCGCCTTATTGCAAACCCCCTGGACTCGGCACGGGTGGGAACAAGAGTTTGCGAGAATTCTGACTTAAAATTGGCCCTTCCTGCTCACTAGTAACTGCAATGATTAATTCGATGCGAAGTACAAGACAATAAGTACAGGTTGCGCAGCAGACATTTCGCCACAGAAATGTTACAACGTGATCTGCATGCAGAGTGAACGAGTAAGTAGTATTTGTGGGCAAAATCCCCTCGAAGTAGACAGCAGTATTTTTCTTGGATTAAAATTCACAGGCCTGCTTGTTTACAATGGCATTAGGCCGGTTCACCTTACCGGAAGTTATGTTGCCTCATTCTGAACTGCAGAACGTGGCGCTGTATATACCTCGGAATTCAGTCTGTTTTGTGGTGTAAATAGTGTAAACTGTGCACATATTGCTTGTATTGATATTGCTTGTACACTATAATCGATAACACACTGGTATGCAACAAGAGCCGCCTAGCAATGGCTGTAGCCTATAGCCACTGTGGGCACTAGAGTATCTTCGAAACCAAAAGGTCAAGGGTGAGACGCAAAGGAAAACAGATGGAATTCAACAGGCACCAGAAATAGGTGTTTAATCAGAGGCAGCTGCTGAACCAGCAGAGCAGAAAGCAGGGGCTCCACCCAGTGTCAACTCATCTTGGCTTTGCATTATCTGCTGGCTCCCCGGTAACACTGGGGCACTTGTGCTGTAATTCAGCCTGAAACTGACTGTAAACTAACAAAAGGTTCTTGTATAAACAGTGTCCGGTTCCTTTCGTATTTCATGTACAGGTTTGAGCGGAAAACTATTCTTGTTTTAATTATCACTGTGCAAACAATGATTAAGTGTGGTGTTCTGAAATTGAAATAAAACACCTCACATATAGCTACTGATTTTTGGTTATTCATCTGATGGGTTAACAATGCTATCAATTCTGAGCTCAGGAGTGCCAAATCATTTTTCACCTGTTTATGAACATTAACCTCGAGCCATAAAGCATCTGGATTTTATTTCATTTAAATTATCTGTCAGCTTCAACAATAAATGTTCAATGCAAAAACATGACTGCAGTGCTAAGATGGTGTGGTCCTGATTGCTTGCCCGGGTTACTGGTCCAGCTGATCTGTTGGTGAGATTTCAGCGGGAGGCAGAGTGTTCATCCTCTCTCTCAGATGAGCTGCTCGCACGTAGGAGTGCTCATGAGCTCATCGAGTGACGCTCACACCTCCGTCCTTTCCTACTGGCTCTGCACTGCTTACAAGATCTGGACGCTGCACCGACGTCACCGTGTGCCGAGGGGCTCTGAGAAACCCAAGGCACGTCACTGCCACCCACGGGCTGGGGCCCCGACAGAGCGAGCAACGCGGTTAGGAGGAAAGTGATTCGATTGTCAGGCGCGAGTGGGAAGGGACGGAGCCGAGAGAGAGAGACTTGCAGGTGGGAAGCAGGCGAGTGGCGTCAGCGTGCGTCGGCTGCCGAGGGGCGAGTGAAACCCCTCCACTCACACCCGAGACAGACACGGCAGCCGATATTGAGCCTCTGCCTAGCTCTGCACGAAAAGAAGAGGTGAAGCCCTGTGAAATGAAAGGAAACGAAAGAAGCTCACAAGATCATCTTCTCCTGGCAGAAGGGGTGTTTGGGTTTAATCTCCAGCTTCTGGACATCCTTGTAGTGGATCTTCGGGCCCTTCCTTGTGCACTTGCACTTGTAGGCTGTAGAGAGAAAGAGAGAGAGGGCGCAGACACGGTGAAGCATGAAAGTGATTCACAGCCTCGTCCCTCAGACTGAAGTCACTGGGGCTCATTCTACCCTTGACCCAGACCAGCGGGGACGGCCACACCAGCTGAACCAGGCAAGAGGCCGCGATCTGGCCCTGCTGAGCCAGATCAGAAAAGTTGGACTTTTTCCCATTGAAATAGAGGGTTTGCATTTTTTTATTCAAACCCTCGTGTTGCGATGATGGATGTGTTTGTATACACCCAGCCAGGATGGTATAAACAGAACGGCAACTGAAATTACAGAAGAAAGATAAAGCAGGTTTAACCCAAAATCACAAAATGATGAACCTCCCGAGCTAATCTTAGGACTGATGGAAGCAGAGGAGATTTCTGCAGAGTGGCAACAGAGCAATTAAAAAGCCCTTTCCTTAAAGAGAAGAGAAGCCAAAATAAAACCTCTTAAATGATTGCTTATTACTGAGATCACTATCCTGATCAGTGAAACTTTGGCATTTGGGATACTATGGCAAACAGTTCTGCATCACTACAGATCACTGTGTCAGATAGCTAATCTAGGACATGGATTCCCAATGTCCTTCTGGGGCTCATCATCACACCATCAGTGCTGAGAATACAAACACAACCAATTTCTGATTTAAAATTTCATGGTTCATTTTCACTCTTTTCATAACAAGGGTACAGGAGCTCTGCATAACCTGTGCAAAGCTTTGCTGACTGGATGGAAACCTACAACGTCCTTTACTCTGATTTCTACACATTCTGCAAAAAAGGACCCTTCCTTTTTGAAATAGCAATGCCCTGGCAGCAGGTGCCACACGGGGCTCGTGTGCTGTCCCAGAGGCAGGCCGACAGCGCTCTTCGCTGCTGCACTGAAGGCGCAGCTGACCTACATCTTCTGCCGGGTCCTCATCAATCTTTCCCAGCATCGCCAGGTGTGCCAGCCCCGTGCCCGGCGCCTGCAGGTGGGCCAGCTCAGCTCAGGCAGCTGGAGTGCACGGGAGCCGCTTTTCAAAGTCGTTTTGTGTTTTGTGTTTTGCAGCACGAGCTAAACATATAGACACTCCTGCTCCAGTACAGTATGCATGCGGCTTATATAACTCAAACAGGATCAGTGCTGTACAGCTTCCTTGTCAATTATTTCATTCCAGAAGCCCCACCAGAGGTCTTTACAGCACAGGGAAAACCACAACGTTAGGAAACATCGAACTGAGGAGTCGCATGCCGGAATGAAAAAGATTTGATTCCTTATTCCTTTGCCTCTGATCCTTAAACTTAAACTGCATCACTTTGACACCCACAATCAAAGCATTTGGGGGGTGTATTCTGTGTGGCTTGCGTCTCTTCCATTGTAACTTGTGAATCTTGAGATTTTTCAGAGTTTATTAAATTAAAACGAACAAATGGTGAACGAGGCTGATTCACTTAAAGAGGTTGTAAGAGCCTTGTAGAGTGGCGGTTTCTGCCTTCAGGAGGTACCTGATCTCTTGCCTTTAAATCTTTATGAGCATCCCTGCAGGTCTGAATAATGTTGTAACTTGATATTAATGTTTGGGTACCGGTTGCTTTCACGTGTGAAATCCTCCCCAGCCTCCTTGCAAATTAAAAAGGGATCTGCATACGCATATTGCAGTTTGAAACGCGTGCGGGACTCTCTGGGACTCGGCGCAGGTTTAAGCCCATTCTCGCTGCTGAGCCCGCAGTTCTTCCGCTCAGCCGGAGCTCCAGGGCTGAGAGCCCCTTTAAGTGGGATGTACAAAAAGCAGAGACGACAGCAAACACTCCTCTTCTTAATATCGTGAAACGCACTCGCGTTTTTGTTCAATGACTGGTTTCCCAGCTAGATTTAAAATTCGTTAAAACTCTGCGTTTTACAGATAGCACCCAAAAGTACAAGAAAGACTTGAATACCATGTTGTTGTAAACTTCGTCCTATGATTTTAAAATGATGTCAGCCATCACCTTTGAAAATTTGGTTTTATTAGAGTAGTTCTTCTCCACTTAGACGTTGAGCCTGTATATAAACCTACAGAAATGTTGTTTAAAACCAGCGTCCGTCCGTTTCTATAGTAGCTACAGATATGTTTGACGAGCACTCTTACAAAGAAATCGTATACATATATTCGCATTTATAAGGAAAAATAACCGAGTTATTTGAAGAACAAACGTTTGAACCCACGCATAACAGATCAAACGAAGAACAGCAGAGAATTAAATAAAAAAAAAATACCTTCCACGTTGAGAAAGTAAACGGCGAAGACCAACAGGAGCAACGCAGCTGTACAGCGATTCATCTCGACAGGTGAGGGAACCGACACTCGAGCCCCCTTTTGGGTTTATTTTAAATTTGGTTCCTGCTGAAGCGGCCGGCACCGGGAATTAACACGGAACAGAACAAGTGAAGCGCCAGAGATATCTGCGTCCCGGCTGGAATGTGGTGTCCTGGGCACCGCGGTGTCAGCTCGGGTCCCGTCCGCTGTCTGCCCGCGCCGCTCCAGCGTCGGCGCTTTAAACAACCTGCTCCCCCTCTCTCTCTCTCTCTCCCTCCCTCTCTCTCCCTCTCATTAATATGCACAGCCCGCCGACGAATCGCTCACATCTTCCCGACAAGTGGCAAGGGAAGGGGGGGGGGCGAGGATAAATAAAGGCTAAGACAGGAAAACAAGACAAAGGAAGCCCAGCCAGCGAGAACAGAGCCGGCCGGTGTGTCACGGGAGGTTTTGGGGGCGCATGCAAACGAAAGGGAAATTGATTGCGGGGTCCTTTCGGACCGGGGCGTTTTGGACATCCAACTTGCCGAATGTCCGTGGCAGGGAGCTTGCTTCCCTACAAAACGCTCCGCTCCGACTGTAGTTTTAATATCGACTCGGAGTTTGTGGTTGATGCAGTATCCCGCGCGTAAAAGTTTTGGGGTTTTGAATTGAAGTCCTGACCCTGACTCCCCTCGGTGCCTGGGCGGCTACGTCCACATCACACACCCCAGTAGAGACCCCACTCTAAAATCCCAAACTGTATCACATGATAAACCAGGGAAAACTGTCAACAAAACGGGTTTAAAACGAAAATATTTCAACAGTTCATCTACAGACACCCGGGGCGTGCGGTCTTTCCCCTTATTCTTGCATTCTTGATTCGTGAAGACACTAAATACGTTTTGACACGGTTTTTCCTAGTTTGCATCACAGCTGGAAACATCAACCCGTGCGTCTCCGTGATTTACCCATGTTTACTGCACTTTTACAGTGGTATTCTACAGCGCGCTTGTAATAGGAACCGATGCCAAGGTCTGATGAAAAAAAACTCGGCTCACAATTAGTCAAAACAGAGAAGTGTCACAGCCCCACAACCTACACGCTCTTCGCAGCTGGCTGACGGAAAGGTCCACATCTTGATACGATTAGACGAACCTCGCATTTAGTAAAGACGTACCCTGTACTCTGACGTGGGAGATTAAGAAAATAAACAGTAGTAACGGCGCTCGTCAATTGAGCAACAGCTGTCTCGTGTGCTCCGACAGGACTGGTTAGATCTGCACTCTGAGTAGGTTCTGTAGGAGCTATCTAACGTGCTCAA